CTAGGGTAATGAAACCAAGTTAGCAACATCTAATAGTTTGGAAAGAAAATGGTAAAAGAGGCCAAAAAATTAGAGGCAGTTAATTTTTATTGATCACTTGCTCTATGTAAGCGTCTGTTCTAGGTACCTTAAATGCATAAGTTCATTTAGACTCACAGTCACATTGCAAGGTACATGTTATTACCATCCATTTTATAGATAATGCAACAGAGGCTGGGGGAAGGTAAGCAGCTTTCCCACAATCACATCTCTAGCTCCAGGCAGAGTCAACTCAAATCTGGCAGTGTGGTCCAAGGGCTTGTGTGTCCAACACTCACTCTGGTTCTAGCACCTACTGGCATCATCATTTCATCAAGGGACATTTTGGAATACAAGTCAGGGAAGAAATCTCAGAATAAGAGTCTGGTCCTGCAAGCTTAATCTGGTTAGCATTATTAAAACCTCACAATTTTCCTTGCTTTTGCACAGATTTTTGCAAATGTCGTCACATGCCTCCACTGGCCTGAAGAGTAGGATTTGAAAGCACAATAAATAAGGCAACATAAATAAAATAAAAATGAAACTCAAAGACTTTCAGGTTAGATATATATGACAGATCATTTCATTAAAAAGAGACCAATATAGGAATTATAGAAACTACGTATTGAGGATCTTCAGGTCCAACTAGCCCAGTGCTCATCAAAACACAGAAATCACCTTCCTTCCTATTAGGTTCTCCTTGAATGACCATTGGGAAATTCATTATTCATGCATCAGCTGCTGTCAAATTTACATGGACACCCTGTTTCTCCCCATAACCACCCTCAGTTCTTCCCATCAGTTCTCACTGGTTGAGCAAGTTGCCAGGCCCTTTCCTCTCCTGGGTGCTATCCCAGTATCTTGAACATAATCTATATGTGTGTTTGTTCTTAAAATGCAGGATCCAGAATTAAGTGAGATAATTAGAGGGAACTTAACTAGCACTGGTAGGGTAAGACTTCCTTCAACATGGGAATTTTGCTTTCTTAATGCAACCTAGGATTACACTAGTTGTTTTAAATATTTTTTTGTGTGGCAGATTTATGGTCAACTAATCTTTGACAAAGGAGCAAAGACTATGCATTGGAGCAAAGAGAGTTTGTTCAATAAATGGTGCTGGGAAAACTGGGTCGCTACATGCAAAAGAATGAAGCTTGACCACTACCTCACACCATACACAAAAATCAACTCAAAATGGATTAAAGAACTAGACATAAGACCTGAAACCATAAAATATATAGAAGGAAATATAGGCGAAACGCTACGTGATTTGCACATAAAAGACATCTTTACAGACACATCACCCAAAGCAGTGAGAGTGAAGGCAAAGATAAACAGCTGGGACTACATCAAATTAAAGAGCTTCTGCACAGCAAAAGAGACAATAACAAAAACAAAGAGAAACCCCACCAACTGGGAGAACATTTTTGCACCCAACACTAATGATAAAGGATTGATCACAAAAATCTGCAAAGAGCTGATGAGACTTAACAACAACAAAGAAAATAATCCAGTCAAAAAATGGGCAGAAGAGCTAAAAAGAAACTTCTCTGAAGAGGAAATGCGAATGGCCAACAGGCATATGAAAACATGTTCAACATCACTTGTCATCAGGGAAATGCAAATCAAAACTACCATGAGATACCATCTTACACCAGTGAGAATGGCACATATTAAAAAAACTAGCAACAACAAATGTTGGCGAGGGTGTGGAGAAAAAGGAACTCTCCTGCACTGTTGGTGGGAGTGCAAACTGGTTCAACCACTATGGAGAGCTGTGTGGAGATTTCTGGACCTACTAAACATAGAGCTTCCATATGATCCAGCAATTCCACTCCTAGGTATTTACCCAAAGGACACAGAAACATCAATTCCAAAGAACACCTGCACCCCTATGTTTATTGCAGCACTGTTTACAATAGCTAAGCTTTGGAAACAGCCCAAATGCCCAAAAATAGATGACTGGATCAAGATGATGTGGTACATATATACCATGGAATATTACTCAGCATTCAAAAAAGATAAACACATGCAATTTGCAGCAACATGGATGGCGCTGGAAGGGATCATGCTCAGCGAAATAAGCCAAAAAGAAAAAGAAAAATACCGGATGGTCTCACTCATAGCAGGAATCTAGAAAACTTAAATAAGGGACCAAGAAAATGAATAACTATAAGAAAGTGAAAATCAAAATCAACAAAAAACTATGAACCAGAGACACTTTTTGGGGGGCGGGGGTGGGAGGGGAGGGATTGGGGTCAGAATGGGGGGGCTGCAATTGTATGGGGAATATAAAAATAAAATTTATTATTTAAAAAAAAAAATATTTTTTTTGTGTGGGAGGGAAACAGTGAGGGAATAGCATTACAGAGTGATTACTATAATACAGATCACATGTGGATGCATATATATTTAAGCCAAATCCTCAAACTTTTTTCATATATGCTGTTGTTAAATTTTATCATTAGAGCCCCAAACTAGTACTCTTGGCTTTTAAAACCATACAGAATGAATGCAAAATTATCTCTACTGCTTACCACAGTGGTAAATTTTTCCATTGTTCAAGCTGGGCCTAGAACATGTTCCATCTATTCTATACAATGCTTACAGTCTCTCACAGGAATGGGATCCACAACTTGTTCTTCATGAAGTTAGATACTCACAAACCACCTGAGGAACAACTTGGGCTTGCTATCAAATGGTTCAGCCTATACTTCACAGACCTGTCTTCTTACTGATAACTCAGCATAATTTCCACAATTTCACACTGTTCACCAATAGTGATCATCAGTCTTACCTGCAGATTTTCTCAAAAGTCTCCTGTCAAGAAAGGATAAAACTAAAGAGTAAAGTATCTTATTGGACTTCAATTTCCTCACCAACAACAAGCCCCTCCCCCCTTATTTCCAGTATTCTCTCTCTCCTAACATAACTCATTTCCTCAGTTTGTTTTGTTCACTTTCAGCTACTTCAAAAATGTTCAATGCCAGTGCACGATGCACCAGGAATTGTGTCAACCGTGGATTCCAAACACTCTGAGGAAAAGAATGCTTTATCTTTAGGCTTCCCTGCCTAAGTGAAGTTTAATCTTTCAAGTCACAGTTGACATGCAAATACAAATTCAAAATTAGTTTTAATTTTTTAACAAGGGCTGCTAATCTATTATAAAGGTGCACTGCCTCTTGGAGAATTGTGTAGTTATATGTCATCAACAGCAAAAAAAGGGCTGAAAACAGCAATAGAGGCAGGCATTATATTCATGGGAAATATATACAGTAATTGTGCCAACAGCTGAAATGCACAGGCATAAAACAAGAGAAAACACAAAATATGTTAAAAAAAAAAGAACAAAACTAGAAATATTCGTGGGATTGCTAGTAACTAGAATGAAACAGATTGCATCCCCTCCCTAGTCTAGACAATGGAAGTCTACCCTTCTTTTGGAGAGAGAGGAAAATATATATTGTCACGCCCCAAATAAATCCTCAAAATGACAATGAAGAGAAATAACACTCAACATTTCTCATAGAACATATTTAGAAGATGGCAGATCATGTGGGTTTCCATTTCCCCATCTGCAATAGGGGATCACAGTGGCAGCCCTGGAGTCTTCACAAGGTAGTTATAAAGTAAGTAACAAATTTGAAAACAATGCCTATATTGTAAAATTATATATAAAATGTATACATAGCTATCATTTTCATTACAAAAGACAATGTAAGAAAATATTTCACAAAAATACATTTTATTCAACTAGAGAGAAAAGATGGCATGATTTAGAGAAGCAAAGAAGTGAAAGGACTATGAAACTCTTTCTTCTTAGAAACACTCATTAGGCCTAAGCATCTCAGTAGTGCAGAGCAAGGTTCCTTTTTCAGAGACTACAGAGAGAACCACAAGCATGCACGTCTGGGCTCTGGGATATAAGCCAAAGCAGAAACATCGCTGCACTCAACAGATAGATCCTTAGGAGAAAAGGTTCCCTGCTCCCTTTATTAACAACACCTTTTAAAAATCCAGATTTTTCCATGAATTCTGAATTTGTAGAAATAGCATACTCCAAATTATGAATGAAAATTGAATCAGCCATGATCGTTAAAATTTAATCATTTCTTTACCAGAGTCAGTCTGTGCTCTCAGTACTTTCAAAACTTGAAAAAGAAATGCAACATATTGATAAGTATCTTCTTTAAAAATGCTAGCTGAAGATTCAGTTAACACCATAAAAATTTATGGAATCTCCTCACCTCAACCCACAATTTAATGCTGGGCATCTTCATTTAAATCATGAAAGATCCCTTTAGTATCCCAATAGATAACTTCTCTCTACTTCCTGATACTAGCCACACAGAAATAATATACCCTCTGATGGGACTTTTTTCAGGTTTTCATTTTTATACGTCTCTTCATTTCTCTCTCCATCAACCTGTTTTTATTTAAGTCACAGAACGGTTCAGCACAGTCAATTAGAACTTTATAATCTAAGAACTTAAATGCTGCATGTAGCCCACAAATCACTTCGCTAACTTTACAAACTGACCCCATGGCATTGGCAAGCAGCCCCTCCATTAAATATCTATGAATAAAAACATAGCTTTCAAGCTATCTCTAAGATGGTATTATTATTTAAAAGCCCCTCCAGGCTACAAGCACATTAAATGTGAACGTTAAAAAAGGGACCAGGATAAGAGAGAGGATTAACCTATGAGGAGACATTAGACAGTTTTTGTCAACTTTAGGGCAGTTTCTATATGAACTATGTGCTACTCGTAGGCAGGTATACATTAATAATAGGGGAAAGGTAGTGGAGGCTGCCTGACAGAGTCCAAGCTTGGAGGACCAGAAGTGCAAAGGCCTCAGTCAGGGCAAAGGACGTATTCTTGTGCATGTAACAGATGCTGACAGAGCTGGGGAAGCCCAACAGCCACCTGCAAACAGTGATGCTCTAGGTCAGCACCAGAAAGACAGTTTCCCATACTCACCGGCACACTTTGTTCTTGTTCTGAGAGCTGGCCCAGGAGAACCAGTGCCCCCTTCCCCGGGCCTGGTGAGGAGCACGCTAATCTCATACTCAGTGTCTGGATCCAGGTGCCCGATTTTATAACTTGTGGAATCCACAGGCTGCCGGTCATTCCAGCTCCCACTTGCCGTGCAATATTCCACCTCTCGGGCCACAATGGGCCCATCCCCATTGATCGAGTTGGCATTGAGTTGTATCCACAGGTAGGTTGCCCCCACAGAGGCCAGCTGAGGTGGGGCGATGGGGACAGGTGGTTCTGAAAAACAGAGCATCATCTCAGAAACTTCGACCTTCAGTTTTAAAAGAGCTCATCAGATACCATTTATTAAAATGTAGATACATGATCACTTGAGGTATGAATTGATGAGAATGTTGTTCAGGTTAAAATAAAAGCTAGTAAGGGTTTTCACTGTATTCAATTTGTGAAACAAACCCTCTATTAAAATCTAAGCTTGTTCAAGTAGGTGTCTTCAAATTTGTCTCAGGATGTAATTAATTTTTTCTTGGCTACACAGAATAAAAAGAGTTTCTTATTCTCCCACTAAGAGTAACTTGCTACTGTTCTCTCAAGTGGCAGTATTTAAGTTCGAGGAAGTACTCCACTGTCAACCTCCTTATTGAGAAAGTCTCCAAAATCATTAAAAGTGCTAGTTATCCATATCATTAAATTCAGTTTTCTTATTTATATTCTAAAGATACCACCATTTTAAAAAACATGGCCAAAATTATAGTTTATCTCATCATAAATGCATTTCCAGGATGACTCATTTCCCCAAAAATTATCACAATGGGCCTATTCAGCTACAGGAGAAGTGAGCAGTCTGGAAAATAAAGGCCACCACAGCTGCCATTCAGGAAACTTCCAGTAATGAGACTTATTAAAGCAGTGAGCAGAAAGAGACTCTGCAGCAAAGTACAGGGCATGCCCAACTTGATAAAACTCTAAGCCATCGTAGCAAACACGCTTTACAACCCAAGAATGTTTCTCTTGTTTAAATCACAAGACTGACTTCCCACATCTCTGGCTGAGAAGTGCAAGATGGACAACCTAGTTTTAAGAAGTATTCTTAGTACAGTAGATATCAGCTGAATGGCTCTCCAGGCACCCAGTGAAGTAATTCCACCTGCCAGTGGCACTGTGAGTGGCACCACACTTAGGAAAGGCAATAAGTGTATGGAGAAAACAATTTTTATCTTGATGAGTCCCCATCTGAAAAAACTTAAAATCCACTGATGTTTATTAAGAATATTTTACAGGTTGCTTATGTATTTTTGGTGGATTTTTGTTTTTAACTCCTTATACAGTTACACAAATTCCTGGAAAACAAGGTCTGCTATGCTCTTTTCTTTTTTTTTTTAAATATTTATTTATTTATTTATTTACACAAGCACTGGGTATAGTCAGAAGCATGGGAGGGTGAGAGAAATCACCAGAGCCAGAGCGGGGAGCAGAGCAGGCAGAAGGACTGAAGTACACTGCTAAGGGGAGCAGCGGGTGTGGCAGGAGAGGTCTGTTGCACCATCTGGGACCCTCGCTGGCGGCCGGGGATCTCACCGGCGCTGCAGAGGCTGCAGGCAGCTTCGCAGCCCATGCTCAACCCCTGTGCCACTGCTATGCTCTTTTCTGTCATGTGTTATTGTACATGCTGTAATTCTATCCCCTCCATGGTGGACACAGCCGACAGATCACACTCATTTTTCCTGCTGAAAAGAACTTCAGGGCAAGTAATACCATCTCACCATGAACCCCTGAGATGTTACCAGGTGAATCCCTAGGCCAACTAAAAGATCAATATCAGTTTCCTTTGTTGTGTTGGGGCATCTATGTTTTTTTCTATATTCAAGGTGAGTTAAGTCATACAGACATTTAAAAACAGTTGGGGAAATCTCATGAGATTGAGTCAATATAAGATAGGAAAAGATGAATTTCATTTGAAGGAAGATAAATTTAATGTACATTTATTAAAATATTGTTCCTATTGATTATAAATTACAACTCTGTGCTAATTCTTAATTTCTTTAAATAGTTGTGATGCAACTCATAATGATATAACATCAATTTGTTTCATTAGGTGATTACTTGAATCAAGACATGAAATAGGCATTTTAGAGTACATCCTAAGGCATCCATGTAGCCAGGCTGAAAGAACAGTTAATTACTTTGAAGTTGCAAATGCCAGCAGGGGTTGCTGAACTGCCACTCAAAATGCAACTCAGGGGCAAGGCCAAAAATGTTAGTGAGCACACTATTTCATTTAGGATATTGTTACTAGTGTCCTTAAATAGACATGACTTTAACGCCTATTTGTGCTGAGAATATTTTCTCTCTTAACTCCCCATTAAGAGAGGTATCAAATATATAAAAGATTCAGTTAGAACCTGGAAATAATTGAGACAAACATTCAAAAGGACTTTTGGGTTCTTGAAGAATCAATATGAGTCAGGGAATATTTAAATTTTGAATAAATTTTCCCAAAGTGAAGGAACTCAATCTATATACTGAGTAATAAAAAGCAATTTAAAGTATTTAATTCCAGTGAAAGTGAAAGGACCAGAAGGTAATTTAAAATGAACCCAGCAATGAGAGAATTTAATTACATGTAGCTATAGACACAGACATATATCTAACTGATAGGCATATGTGATGTCTAATATACAGTGCATGTAACTAAAGATGATACTGTATATAAATGTACATATATGTATATTAGACATCATATATATACACATTTACTCATGTATTATGGAAATTACATGGAATATTTCACATCATTAATGAAAAAAAGCAGTGGTAAACATTAATAAGAGTGATAGTTAAACAACTAAATAATGCGAACTCATATGGCGAGCTGGCATCAAACCAATTTATGACCTTAAGAATGGTATGAACTCTATGCTCATTAGTTTTTCCCATTTAAAAAAATATACTCCAGGTCCTCCCTGGTGGCACAAGGGATTAAGACATAACCTATGAAGCTATCCACAGCCACTGCAGCACGAGTTCAATTTCCAGCCAGAGAGCTACCCACATAACATAGCAGACCTCTCCTGACTCGCCCGCTGCTCCCCTCAGCATTGTATTTCAGTCAGTCTGCCTGTTCTGTTCCCCACTCTTTCTCTGGTGAATCCTCTCACCCCTCACACCTCTGGCCTGTACCCCAGTTCTTGTATGCACAAATAAATAAATATTTAAAAACCAAATAAATAATAAAAGATAAAAAAAACAGTATTCCAAATGTTATATGTATGATAAAATGTGTTAAGTTATATATATGCCACTTAAAAATGCCATTGTGGGCCTCCCCGGTGGCGCAACGATTGAGCGCTGGGTTGCGAAGCTGCCCGCAGCCTCTGCGACGCCGGTTCGATCCCCGGCTGCTCCCCGGCCACCAGAGGAGGGTCCCACACGGCGCGCAGACCTCTCCTGCCGCCCGCTGCTCCCCTCAGCAGTGTACTTCGGTCCTTCTGTCTGCTCTGCTCCCTGCTCTGACTCTGGTGAATTCTCTCACCTTCCCGCGCTTCTGACTGTACCCAGTGCTTGTATAAATAAATAAAATAAAATAAAATAAAAAAAAAATGCCATTGTATTTTTTATAGTAATTGTTGTAAGGCAATATTTTATTATGTTACTAGAATCCAACATATTATCTCATTTATAAAATAAATTAAAGGCCAAAAATGGCCATAAGAGTAGAAATGGAGAAAAGACAAGGTATAGATTGGAGACATAACTGTCAGGCACCTGTCACTAGCTCGGCATTGTGCAGAGAGGGAAAGAGAGGTCAGCACACTTTTATCACAATGAGTCAATTCACTCCATGTTGTCATAGATAGGAAAACGTGCAGTGTAAATGTAAGAAACTCGAGGGTTCTTTATGTTTATGTTGTTCTGGAAGAGTAGACATTTGTGATTTTATCATAAATCCCAAAAAAGTAACTTCCATAGAGGCTATTTTTAGAGAAGTTACTAGATCTGCCCCATAAAGGTCAGGAAGCATGATGCCTTCAGAACACGGCAGTGACTGCTCGCCAGAGAGCAGCGTTGCAATTACAAGTCAGGAAAGGAACACCGATCACAAAGAGCTGAACTAAAATGAAAACACACATGACTGATAGTAATGAGCACAGTCCTGGGAACATACGGGCTGCCCTATGGTTTTGCTGGTAAATGGTGTCCATTTTCTGCATTGTGACATCTCAATTCCCAGGGAGCCTTCTTCAGGGTAGGGTGAGCAAAACTATGAAGAGTTTGAGTTTTCTTATAAATATTATTGTTTTTTCCCTCCCCACACCATCCCTTTTGTGCCCTTGTCCCTTTCCTTCACCCCCTTTATTAATCTCTATTAAACATCTATTAAGGATGTTTGTTGATGTCCACTAGTTTTTGAAATTGTTTTTCTTTGTTGAATTCTCTTTTATATGAATGTCTTATATTTGTTTTTTATCATCTGACATACTTTAAAAAGTCCCTCCATTTTGTTGAAAATGGCTGCATTTCATCCTTTCCTGTGGCTATGGAAAATTCCATGGTAAGTACTAACCACATCGTTTTGATCCATTCATCCATTGAAGGAGATTTTAGGTTATTTCCTTATCCTAGCTATCGTAAGGAATGCTGCTGTGAGTATTGTAGAACATGTGCTTTCTATGTGTTTTTTTGTTGATACCGTATATTCTGCGGATACATGCCCAAGAATGTGATGGCGAGGTTGTATGTTTTTTCTATTTTAAAATTTTTAAGGTTAATCCAGATTGGTTTCCATATGGTTTCATCAGTTCACCTTCCCACCAATAGTGTAACAGGGTTCCTTTTTCTCCCCATTCTCTCCAGCAATTATTTGGGGATCTTTTTATTTATTTATTTTTTATAATTATTATTTTTTAATTTTTATTTTATATAATTCTTACATCATTTTTCATTTTTGCACAGTGTATGCATTTTCATTTTGGTAATATTGCCCATACAATTGCACCCCCCCTTATTTTGACCCTAGTCTTATAAATACTAAACCTAAATTCAAATAATAGCCAGACAGACTAAAGGCATAAGAATTTGATGGGGGGCTTCTCCTGGTGGCACAGCGGTTGAGCACTGGGCTGCAAAGCTGCCCGCAGCCTCTGCAGTGCGGGTTTGATCTCCGGCCGCTGGCGAGGGTCCCATATGGTGAGGCAGACCTCTCCTGCCGCGCCCGCTGCTCCCCTCATCAGTGTATTTCGTCACTCTGCCTGTTCTGTTGCCTGCTCTGTCTCTGGTGAATTCTCTCACCCTCCTGCGCTTGTGACGGTACCCAGTGCTTGTATGGATAAATAAATAAATCTTTTTAAAAAAATTGATGGGGCAAAATATCTAAGTGGCTATTTTGACGTGTGCTTGTTTACCCTGGACAGTAGTCATTGCTGCAGTGAGTACTCCTTGGGGTACAATCACCAATAAACACTTTTCTCACTAAGCAGGCATGACTAATAAGGGGGCCATGATTTCACTATAGAAACATATGCAGATATCACCTAAAGATGTTATAGCAGAAATTGTGATTCAATATGGGTGTGATGAAGGGGAGGGGACAGTAGGTGGGCTGGGATTAATAATTCTGAAAATTTAGAAAGATAGTACTCAAGTGTTTTCCAAGAGAAGACTACCAGTGTGCTGGAGCAGAGAAAGAATTAGTCAGCCCTTCCTCACCTTCCTCTCCTTCCTTCTTCAACTCCTCCTCCCCTAACCTTTCTCCTCCTCATCTTGGCCTGAACAGGTATGGGCTGCTTAAGATGCACACTGTCCTAAGTTCCCTTCATATACTTACCACATTTGGGCCTCCTGGAAATACAGGAAGGTGATATTATTATATGTGCTTTATATTTGAGAAAACAGAAGCACAGGGAAGGCAAGCCACTGTCCATGCCCACACAGTTAGTTCCAGGTTTTGAGCCCTGTAGCTTAAAACTGTCTGCACAGAGAAATCTGCTGACAAAAGGAATAGGCCATTCAAAAGAGATCAATTTTATGCTCCACATTTAACAAATGCAGGGGAAAAGTTTTTAAAAGCAGGCATCATTTTGATCTCCTAAGATGAAATAGCAATAGCCTGCCACTTTTGTCTAAAAAGGCCTTATGGTACATTTAAAAATCCAAAGTATTCACTGTAGGACAGAGAATTGCCTTAGCAGTTTAATACTATAAACTACTCAGCCCACACAAAAAACATTAAAGCGGCAAAAGGAAACTTATTCCCCCTATCATTTTTCTCTCACCCCTCCTCCTTCATTTATATAATGACTCAATTTTTTCAGTCATGCAAAATATAATAATAGTCCTAACTGGAACATTATGAATGTTAACTCAGTGATATCAATATGGCTTGTGTGATATGACTGAGCATTTTTATACCGACACTGCTTCATTTTATTAACCATCCTGCTATCGTAAACACCCTGGCTGGTGAATATTTGCATTTTAAGTGATTTTCTATCAGTAAAAAAAAACTTCATTTCTCAAAAAAAAATTATAGGTTGTAATCTCTGTATAAGGAGTTGGCGGAAGAACTTGCCAAGAGTACATTCATTGCTTTGTACACAACTAAACCAATATAAATAAAGCACATTTTTCAAAAATATCCCTTAGGTGCAAATTTTGTACTTAAAATGCAATCCATCAATATAGCCTGTCACCAAACTGCTGCTGTTCAGAAGCAGACAAGGATATGTTTGAGCGCTAAACAAAAAATGAAGTCACGGACATCTAATGTGTAGCATCAATAGACTCTTTAGGGGTATAAAATACATTTGATACCTTTAACTACCAGTTCTGCATAGTTTGATATTCCAACCCCTCCTTCTGTGCGAATCATGCAGCGGTATTTTCCAGCATCTCGTTTCGTCGTGTTCACAACATTAAACCAAGCTATGAACCGTCGTAGATTAGTCACCTTTATTTCCTTCAGAGGAGCATCTCGTACATCAATGCCCTGGATGAACAGGGATAGGGAAGATAAAAAGAGATAAAATCAGCTGTCATATCAAAATAGCAAGACACCTGATGGCTATTATTCATGTTACTTCTATGCAAATCTTTTTTAGTTGTTTATTACCCTTGGGCTCTTGTTCCACAAGAACAGCTGGCCAGGAAACTGAAATTCTGCCATGATCAACACTTTCAAGATTGAGGGAGGCAAAATTAAATGTGCAAAAATGTCTTTTTTTTTTGCCCTTCAAGATATTAATTATGTTAAATTAGCTGAACAGAAGAAAGAGAAAGCATATGGAAGAGTTCTGTATCTTGCTCCCATACCAACAACATTTAGTCTTTTCATAATACTTTCTGTTTTTGTGTTTGGCTAGGAAACAAAACTAACTCACACACTACCCTCTCAATGACCTCATTTTACATGTGAACAAATAAACAATTCATCGAGAATAACATTTAAAAAGTCAGTAGGTATAATTAGCGCATTTCCTACCAAACAGGTCTGGACCCAAGTCCAAGCTTTCTGATATTCCTCCTGGATGTACAGAAGCCATGCAGAAGTAGATGTTCGATATTACCTGACACTGAAATGTTATAAGGAAAGTTCTCTCCACATCCCAGCCCCAGGGCCACATAAAGCAGGCTCCATCATTGGGGTAGCTTTGTCTCACACTATCCCTGATAACATGAAGTCAATCTTTATTTATGCACACTTGGAAATTTTTTTTTTGCTTTAAATAATTTAAAGCCTTAGAAGAAGCTTACAGATTATAATTATTAGGAAGTGGGCTATCCTGCCATGGATTTGTAATAAGCAAAAAATAACGGGCAAAGACCTTAAGGTTAATGCATGACACCAGCACTATGTTGACTTACTGACCCAGCAACCATTTAACCATTTACACGGTGTCAACCACCTGTTAATCACTGTGGTATGAGACAAGGGTCACAACAGCAAACACCACAAAAGCGGTTGCTGTTTCACTGGGGCATCAATTATTTGAAAGTTTAGGCTTTAACTAAAAACATAATTACAAATGGTGGCACTCTGGTGAAGGGAAAGCTCGGGTGACTGGAGAAATCCAACTTTAGAGAGCTTGGCTATAGAAGGTGAGTTTGAGATTTGAGATCTCAAAATTGGATTTGATATATGAAGAGTGAGTAAGAGCTAGCCAGACAATGGAGGTGGATGAGAGAGGATGGACATTATTATCAGAGGAAACACTTTAGCAAAACTAGGTGGTGCGAAAGAACTAGAGGCTTTGGATGAAGTTAAGACAGCCAATTGAACTAAAAGTTTAGTAGGGACTTGCAGACTCTAGAAATTTGTTTGCATTTGTAAGTATGAAAATGCTCTATTATAAAACAGTAAAACTCATCTATATTACTTTGTGATTTACATTATGCAAAGTTTTTTAAAAGCCTTTCATATGTGACTTTTTTTGACAGTGTGTCTTAATGGACATGAGTTTGGGAGTTAGGCCGACCAGTGTGTCCAACCTAACTTCAAAGTGATTTTACTGCCTTAGATCTTCCCTTTCCTAATCTATAATGTGGAGATGATACAACTCACTTTCACAGCCGTCATGAGAATTTAAAGACATACACAAGGACACTGGCATATGACTGGCACCACGCATTTCCACCTGAATTCTGGACAAACTGTGTGATGAAATTCAAGAAGAAAGGCAGGCAAGCTGTCAGAATACCACCTTTATTACTGATGAACCTAACAATGCAGAATATGGCTGATGTGCAGTAACAATGAGCTTGCTAAAACTGAAGCACAGAATTAAACAGACTCACCCACCCAGCCACAGGCTGCTCTAGAAAATCACAGGCCTCCCAGATGTTGGGCGCTGCTGTAAAACTCACAGGATTGAGAAACGGGGTTGCTATGGGAGTGAGTTCCCAGTGAAGGGGCTGGGCTGTGCATGCCCAGAACTTCCTTCCCAGGCAGCTCCTACTTGGGCAGAGAAAAGGCATCAGGAGTGCTGCACTTGTACAGTTCCTGCCACAGGAAAGGAAACATCAGGAGTGGGGAAGAAGAGTTCCACCAACATCATCTGCAGTATTGTCTGTCAACACAGTCTTGTTAATAGCTTAAATAACCATAAATCAGAATATGAAGCTCCAGATAGATAGATAGATAGATGGATAGATGGATAGATGGATAGATATCTTTAATATCTTATGTGTATTTTTTTTTTCTGACTCTCCTATATTTGGTCTGACAGAAGTAGAAAGAAGTTAGAAAAGCAAAACAAAACAAAATCAATCTAGCATTAATGCATCAGAAGGCAGCCAGCATTTCGGGCCGCCCCAGTGGCTCGGCGAGTTGAGCACCGTGCTGGGAGGCTGTCCGCAGCCTCTGCCGCACGGGTTCAATAACCGGCCTGCCAGGGAGAAACCCACATGGCAGCAGACCTCTCCTGCCCCCCGGATGCTCCCCTCAGCAGTATGTTTGGTCCATCTGCCTATTCTGCTCTTTGCTCTGGCTCTGGTGAATTCTCTCACCCTCCCGCGCCTCTGATCTGTACCCCAGTTCTTGTATAAATAAATACACCTTCTTTTATTTTTAAAAGAAGGTAGCATATCCCTCTGTCTTCCATATACTTGGTTTCCCATCCTCTCTCCCAGATAAATAGACATTCATATTTTACCACCTTAGGTCCAGTGCTCTATAAAATTAAGTTTATCCTTTTCAAACTGAAAAAAACAAAACAAAACAAAACAAACAAAAAAAAAAACCTAACCTCCAGTATTTGAGGAGAGAAAAATACAAACCTTACAAAAAGGCAGATATCATATCTACAAGTAATTGTTCTGCTGTTAATAACAATGCCTATCTATTCACTTACTTGTGGCATGAACCGTGTAAGAATATACTTCTATAGTAATGCTGTACTATTTTTCCTAATACTGATCCCCCACAATTACAAGGGTGTACTGAGGGCACTCAAGTTTAAGGACACCTCCTTTTTGGATTTATACATGTGTTGAAAGAGTATTACTTTCAATTTCATTCTTCATGCTTCATATTTGCCCTTTAAAATAAACAGCTTCAAATTAGCAACTGTGCACAACTCTAACAAGTCACATGAACTCTCAGGGATGGGATGCTTGGGATGCTGGGTTTGTTTTTTTTTTTTTTTTTGAAAGTATTTATTTATTTTCATTCATTCATTCATTCATTCATTCATTCATTCATTCATTCATTCATTTATTTATTTATTTATTTATTTATTTATTTATACAAGCACTGGGTACAGTCAGAAGCGCGGGAGGGCGAGAGAATTCACCAGAGTCAGAGCGGGGAGCAGAGCAGGCAGAAGGACCGAAGTACACTGCTGAGGGGAGCAGCGGGCGGCAGGAGAGGTCTGCACACCATGTGGGACCCTCCTCCAGTGGCCGGGGAGCAGCTGGGGATCGAACCGGCACTGCAGAGGCCGCGGGGCAGCTTTGCAACCCAGCGCTCAACCCCTGCGCCACCAGGGAGGCCCTGTTTTTGTTTTTTTTTTTTTTTTAATCCTAAGTACTTAATGACAGAAAGTTATATTCAGTTTCTTCAAGACAAATAGTACATAGGAAGGAGAAATTGTGTTAACTAGCAATCATTTTAGCCTAGGACCCATACCAAGTCAAAAGTCTTGCTCAAATCTGCAGATCACTTGTATTAAATCACTTACATGTACATGGACGCAGCATTCATTTCATCCAACACAGCACAAAACTTTCCTATGGCACACACTCTATCATGCAGAGAATGCAGGGAGTTAAAAGAAAAAAAACCCTGACATAATGGAATTTACATTCTGGTTAGACACACAAGCAAGGAAGGTAAAATTTAAAGCACAGAACAATGAATTACCTGGAAAAATTAAAAATAGGAAAAGGGGGTACACTGGAGAAGGATGTGAGGGCCAGTCTTCTAGAAAGCACTATTTGAGTCCAGGCTTGAGGATTCCAGTAGGAGTTTCTCAGGCAGTAAGGGAGGAGAAATGGAGCCCAGAAATCAAGAAGTCATGAGCTAAGAAAAAATATGGAATTATGGGAAAAATACAATTTGTTGCATGCAGCCAAGATAGAAGTGCTTTGGTGGAACATGGGCATTGAGGTAAAAAGAAAAGCACAAGAGGCCACACCTGGACACGTGACAGTTGAGGATTACAGTTTATCCTGATGCCAGCAATGGAAGGACTTTCGGCAGATGGGTGACATGAGCATTCATGGACAAAACAGTGAACTGAGGAGAAGACTGTGAGTGCCAGTTGAAGTCAAAATTGACAAAATTGGGTTTTTCGGTTCAGGAATCATAGTAGCAAATGGCAAAATGTAGGATGTGAGGGAAAAGGAAGGATTCTAAAGATATTTAGGAATAAAATCAATGAAAAATGTGTTCTATTGCAGTAACATCTCTCTTTTAGCAGGCTATAAGATCTTCCATTTCAAGAAACTGTTCATTCATGGTGTGTGCATGGGTGCACAGTAAATGGAATTCAAGAAATATTTGCTGACTCTGAGGAATCACAGCTTTGTGAAAAAAAGTTCCAAAGGCAGAACAGAACAATGAAGTTGTTACATTGATTTATAACCTGAACTGTACAAATAATCTGTTTATTAGAGATCATAGAGGAAATAAAATGGTATTTTAGAGATCCTGTGTGTCCCTCAATCAGCAACACTACTCCTTGTGGCTGTGGCAGGAAGAATAATGGCACCTGAAGATGTTTACTCCCCAGGACCTGTAAATACGTTACCTTATGGAGCAAGAGAGGCAGTGAAGATCTGATTCAAAATAAGCATCTAGAGATGTGAAAATTATTCCCAATGATAACAGGCAGCTGCCATGATTCCCATAGGGGAAGGGAGAAGGGCCAATGAGGGAGGAGGAAAGGTAACCACAAAGCAGGGGGTGATGGTTTTTGAAGATGGAGGAAGGAGTGTGAGCCAAGAAATGAAAGAGGTTTCCAAAAGGTACAAAAGGCAAGAAAGACAGGT